TGCGCAGTCACCGTGCCCAGCTAATTTTTCTATTATTTGCAGGGACAGTGTTTTGCTATGTTGCACAGGTTGGTCTCAAACTCCTGGGCTCAAGCAGTCCACTTGCCTTGGCCTCCCAAAGTGCTGCTATGACAGGCATGAGAGAAAATATATTTTCTCTTCACTAAGTGGACATGGATCATCATGAAGGCCTGCATCGTTCTTTCTCCACATTCACTAGGCTGGGAAGGAGGAAAAAGATATATTGGCCTCGCTGCCTCAGGGGTGGCACAAGTGGAAGAATATCCATGTATAAGCAGATTCATGTGGTTGAAACCCAAGTTGTTTAAGGGTCAACTGTATATACTGTTCAGTTAGCACAGTATTTACGTATAAGTTGCCATATGAACAACATAAGTATATCTGATACTTGCAGAAGCCAACAAGGAGTAGAAACAGGCTCAAAGGAACAATTCATCCAGTTTATAATACCATCACAAACATCTTTACATTGTTATACCAATTTAATTATCAGTTTATTCCTTTGATCTATGACCACTTGAACTTTGTGATAAATTTGCACAGAAGTATTCAATATAGTAATCCACTAAATCATTCTAATTCTTCTTCTTGCCAGTCACTCTCCCTTGGTATCACACTGTGAGAAGTTTTAGTTCAATTTCTCAAATAAATTTGATTATCATATGATTTGTTTATATAAGATAGTTGAATTTTACTAACAATACCAGTATTATACCATATCAGAATATGGTTATGGTACAGTTTGGTTTGGTTACAACAAAATTCGGAAATATCACAGAAATATTTATTAAACCTTCCTAGAAGAATTAGCCTTCGCCTGTATACCAGATATGATGAGAAACAAATGCTGTCTCCAGTGGCAATTATTCTGTCATTTCTACGTTCCATGTTATCTGGGGACAAAACCAATCATTTGTCTCAATTTACATTATTATAAAGTTATAGGTTATGGTTAACTTTGCACAGCAAGGCCATTTCCCTACCATGAGAGTACATGGGTATCATTTAGTATTAGTTCTTTTTTTTTTTTTTTGAGACAGAGTTTCGCTCTTGTTACCCAGGCTGGAGTGCAATGGCGCGATCTCGGCTCACCGCAACCTCCGCCTCCTGGGTTCAGGCAATTCTCCTGCCTCAGCCTCCTGAGTAGCTGGGGTTACAGGCACGCGCCACCATGCCCAGCTCATTTTTTGTATTTTTAGTAGAGATGGGGTTTCACCATGTTGACCAGGATGGTCTCGATCTGTTGACCTCGTGATCCACCCGCCTCGGCCTCCCAAAGTGCTGGGATTACAGGCTTGAGCCACCGCGCCCGGCCCTTAGTATTAGTTCTATTCCTACTAGCCTTATTTTGGTCCATCCTTTGGTCAAGATCACTCAGAAATCGGCAGTGCAAGTTGCTACAAAAAAAATTCCATAAATTTGGGGATCTGCATGTGTTTCAAAGATTCTCTGCCTGAGCTTTCACAGCTAAAAATGAAAAGCCATTATCCCCATGGTTATTTAGGGCTCACTTTTAAGTAAAATAGTTAATAGACTCTGTTGTGTTAGAGTATATTTTCTTCCCTAATATTGATTCCTAGCATTCCCTAGCATTACGTGTTAGGTCTGTGTGATCATTTTATCAAAGCTTTATGACCTTTCCAAGTGTATTCCCATTCTTTTCCCTCCTCTTGGAAGATGATTTCCTTCTAATCTGTCTATTTTAGTTCGTAATCCTTTTCTGAAAGTCACTCTTCATTAAAAGTAAATTCAGCTTTTCCCATTATATCCAGGCCAGCTCCTATTTCACCTATAGGTTTCTTTTGTTTCACTGGTCAGTGTTTAATCCAACAGATACATTGTTGTTATTGACTATTAACTGCTTGAATACAGTTAGGATACATGTACTGTACCCCAAAATGTTTGGTAACCCATGCTACAGTCAAATGTATAGGGATCACTCCCAAATGTAGTTTAATCTGTGTATGCCATAAGGTTTCCCATAATCTTTCTTTTCTCAAGTTAGGGTTTTCCTGGCAGGGACACAAATCTAGCTTATAAGGCCTAATATGTTATTTTCATTTATAATCCATTAATACATTTTTGTTCTGTTTAAAAACTTTGTATCTACAAAATAGGGATGATATGTATTCTTACACATCACACTACCACAGATCAGGCTATTCCATCTAAGACTCATCTGAGCATTCAGCCATCAGAATTTATGGTTACACAGTTACCAGTTGCCTGACATTATATACCATGTGTCATAACCTTCAGAAGGAAGAACTTCTTGAATATATTAAATTTGTCTAACATTCTAATGAAGGCAAATTTCCATAACTCACCTTCATCACCATTTCTACCAGTAAAATGGAAATAATACAGTTAAATGTTTAGTGATAGTTATAATCAGCATATGTGTTAAGTGCTACCTTTTAAAAATTAATACTAAGTCATGAAAATTAAATATATAAATAACCTTCTAGCACCCTTGAATATTTATAAGCTAAAAGGATTATCAGCCATATATTTAATCTTTTAGTCTCCAAAGGATAAACAGATATAGTCCATTAAGTAGTTTTTAAAAGTCTCTTCAAAAGCCTTCTCCAATTCTGTAGATGAGAAGTTTTAATGCTATTCTTGACAATTTCTATAGAGGTTAATTTTCATAAAATGTATTATAAACTATGAAAATTAAATAAGTGAGGAGACCAGAGCTAAATGTCCAATGAAGCTCTGTAACACCAGACAAGGTTCTTTATAAACCTTATTATTTTCTGATAGGGTTTAATGCCATGTTAATAAATTTATTATAGCACTGAGAATAAAGAAACACATACCCCACCGTGAACATATGCTAACCAAACACTCTTGTCATTGTAATTATAACCTTTGAGTAGTTTGTCACACTGGACACCAATTTCCTTCCAGCCTTGCAGATAAAAACAGCACAATATAAAAATGTCAAATATTAACACAGTGTGAAACTACTGAGTGGCCTGGCACAGGAATTTTAAACGTCTTTTTGACCGCAGCCAGTATCAGGCTGAACCTGCCACCAATGTGATTAGCTGCTTCTCTAAGCAGAAGGATAGAAGTCAATTAACTTTAAACACTGAGATAACCATCACTTATTACCATATGCTGGTATCTAATCTTTATGAAGTTTTTATAACAACATTTTAATTTCTCATCTATTCCTAAATTCAATTCACTTTCTTGCTATATAAAAATCCTCACTGCTCCCTCTGCGCCCCCCGCAAATAGATTGAGTTCTTTTCACTTATTGGAGAAAGAGTACATGAAGTGGCCAGAAATTAATTGCCTTTAGGGAAACTTCTCAGTACATATAAAAAATGTATTTTCATCTGAAAACATTAAATCCCTACTGATCTTTCTAAAGAAGTGTCACACCGTACTGCTGTTATACTGAGAATACCTGAAAGGAGGAGGAGGTAAGAAATCATGGTGGCTTTGATCGCATGGAAGCAATGGAGATGATAAGAAATAATGAAATTCTGGATATATAATGAAGGTAGAAATAACAGGATTTGCTGATAGAGTTTACATGGGAGGTGAGAAAAAAAAGGGAATAAAGACCAACTTCAAGGTTTTTGGCCTGGGGTCAAGAGAAAATCTTTTGAAAATGGGAGCAATAATACTATGTTTGTGTGTTGATGGAAAAGATCCAGAGGAGAGGGAGGAATTGTTAAAGTAGGAGAGTGAGAGCAGACAATTTCTGGAGTGATGTCCTTGAGTATACAAAAGAGAAAAAGAATCCTGTACATGAGTGAAAGAGTTAGCCTTTGCAAAGGAACAGTTCATCCATAATAACAGAAGACAAGGCAGGGGAATAGGATAGACTCAGATGCAGATAGATGAGAATATGTGGAAGTATTATTGATAGCTTCAATTTTCTCAGTAAAATAAGATACAAATTGAGAGTAAAGTTGGAGGAGGTGTTGGAGAAAGGGAAAGGAACACATAACGGTTAGTCAACAGTAGGAGAGTAAATGGTCAAGAAAACATAGTGTGATTCCTTGGTAGCATTAAGGACCCACTCTGAATTTATGGTCACAAATTTAAAGTGAGATCAGTCAGTACAGCTGGAAATGCTTTTCTGATACTTCAGTGTGCAAGGTGCAGACACAGAGTAGGTGGGAAGTAGATTTAACCAGGGCTGGATTTGTTTTGCCAACAACTATAACAAAGAGAAAGAAGGGCCAAGGGAACTGAAGATATATGCGTGTGAGTGACCATGGAATTTAAACTGGGTAAGGAGAGATGTAAGGGTGTCAGGTACCTGAGGGGACAATTTAATGGTGGCAGGATCAATGCCATACAACCACAGGCACTTTACTGTCCAATAATGCTTTGGTGTTTTTGCTCTGTTATTTCTATACCTTGTACCTTTTTATACACTGTTATAATATGGTAGAAACTATTAATATTTGACTCTGTTTGGAGCCTAACAGCATATCATGGACAATTAGATCTTCTAACTTGTCTTCCCACAACATTTTGCCTAGTTTATCTTCTCAGCCCCACCACCACATGCAAATACACACATACACATAAAATAATAGTGGTTACCTTTGGGCAATGACTATAGTTATATTGCTATATCAGGTTTTAGGTGGCTTTTTTTCCTATGTAGTTTCTAATGTCCTAATTTTCTATATTAAGCATGAAATGTTTTTGTAATTTAGAAAAAATGTTTATTTAAAAGAACATACATATTTACACCCATATATGATTAATCCTGGTTGTGATCTCTAATGAGGTGTTAGAAGACTTAATCAGGCTGGATTAAGTTCTTTGACAAATACAGAAAATAAAACATTTGAGAAGAGCCGATGCACTTTTAAAAACTACCAGGTTTCATAAAACATGCAGAGATCATCGTCTAGCAATTAAAATGTATTAAAATGCATGACCCCAAAACAATTAGAACAGTAAAATTTTTTTTAATATTGGAAGAAAATACCATTACAAACCTGCTTCCTGCTTTGAGCTCTTGCATTCCGTAGTCTTCGAGCAGAGTAAAAGATAAAATAGCCCACAGTTGCAGCCGTAATAATAAAAAAGGACACAGAAACAAAAAAAATTGAATAGTGATTCACCCAAGGTCCATGTTTTTTCCCTACTTCTATGACCATTGTCACTTGTATGCCTCTTTGAATAGATTGTAGAATTTTTGTGCCTTTCAGATTGCCGATCATGATTGCAACAATGTCTCCTGCACCTGTAAAAGAAAACAAATTCAGTTTTAGTTTGGTGAAACATTCTTTT